GAAACCAAAGTCATAAGTTTAAAATTTTTTCTTCATGTGTTCATCAAGCAAAAATTACTAAAGCAAATTGAATGCGATTTTCACAATTGTATTTTCTGAAGTTCTGACTTAAAATCTGATAAGTATTTTATCTAAAAGTTGTTAACTCTTTCCAAAATACACGCTTTTAAATTTTTTAGCAAAAGTTAACAATTATAATAAAAATACATTTAAGTTAAAAAGAAATCACAGTAGTAATATATCAACCTGCGGAATTTAGTTTGACAGTTCAATTTTACCGCGCACTCACAAGGTTAATGACCTTTACACCTAACATCTGTTTGACATTTTACCGTGGCGAGGGAGTAATCATTCCGAGTAATAATAGATTAAAAACCGGTCAAGTGCGTTTCAGGTCGCGCCTCAGATAGTGTTCAGTAGCTATGCAAACAACTGAAAATATCTCGGTGTGGACAAAACTTTAAAATCATATTATAAACAAAATCCTTAATCTATGATCAATATTTTTTTTTTAACAAATTACCACAACACAGCTATTTTACTTTTTCTCGTTATTCTGAGATGCTTTTAAATTTCCTCTAACTGACACTATTAGTAAACAATCTCAATCATTTGTATCAACTTTAATCATAGAAATGTAGAACCTTTTTTTTTATAATATTTAGAATGGCAAATAATCTGACGGCCCACTTAATAAAATGTGGTAACCGCTGCCTACAGACATGAACAGCGCCACAGATATGGCAAAATACATTATAACACCTATAGCATCCTCACGTGTTGCCAGTCCTGAAAACTGTGGTGTTCTGCCTCCGTGCCTTGAAATTTCACTGCCAATTACCATCGTTTAAACCGAACAAGCAAGAACAACTGCTTCACAGCAGAAATACTAGTGGGATAGAGGTACAATGCACACAAAATGCATGCAATTCTGTACAAAGTTTTCCTCTGGTAAATATAGATATAGATCAAGAATAGTACTATAATAATGTTTTTTTTAATGGGTGAAAATGGAATGGCAACTCCGCCTGCGCTTTCGGTATACGCTGGCGAGGCACCAGTGATAGATGATAGATGAAAATGAAGCCAGGTTAGTCGGCTCATCGTGTAGAATTCGACAAGAATTAATCACGATGATTTCCAGAGGGAACCACGTAGAGGACGACCTAATACGGCATATTGCTAGCAATGGGGCTGTCAAACTCCATTGCTAACAATTCCTTTCCCCCCTGATGAATCTTATTAGGTATAAATAGTAATATTACTGTATTTTGTTTCAACTGAACGAATAATTAGCTCGGCCATGACAATTTACTGATATCTAATAATACTATAAATAAAAAATCGATCAATTGTATTGTATTGTTAAATCTTTATTGTATATAATTTATATTGGACACATTAATACGAAAATAACATAAAATGGTCACATCAATACCTACATTAAGTAAGTCCTTTTTACCAGGTACACAAATTAAAAAGATAGTCGCTTAAAATTAAAAATTGTGCCCCACAAAAAACCGACTTCAATTGTGACAAAACCAATTATTTTCGTGTAAAAATTAAACTACCGAACGGAATTTTATATAAAATTCCTATGAGACCAATCTGTAAATACCTCTATTATTTTAGATAAAAAGAATTTTTAAAATGGGTATGGAACTGACAAAGTTATGAAGTAACAAACATAAAAGAAAAAAAAAACAAAAACAATTAATAATTTTTTGCTTTTTGAAGTCTGTTAAAAAATATTAATTTAAAAAAACAGATTTTTACTAATTCTACTAATATAATAAATGCGAAAGTTTGTAAGGATGGCTGAATTGGCTGAGTTAATCTTTCACTCAAAAACTACTAATCGAATTTAATTGAAAATTGGCACACGGATAAAATATGTCCTAATTTAGAATACAAAATATTATGTACTAACTTAAGCAAGCGAAGTCGCGAGATACAACTAGTAATTCAATACATTCCATAGTAACAAATTTTATTCCCAGATTAACATTAGAATTCTCTATATCCGGCAATGATGTGTCTGTGTATCTAACACCAACGATTAAAACTTTTCATCAGGTGGGCCGGAGTTTGTTTGCCTTTGCCATGTTGTAGGTAGAAAAAAAAAGTTTAAAATTCACGCAAAATACATCTCGAACGTAGTGGCTATCGCTAAATATAAGTCAGTGAGTAAATACGTTCATTTAGGAACGAATTCTCATTGTTTAGATAGATATATATAGCTGTATAATATGCTGCATGGTCCCGGCATAGAATAGGCCACCCCATCCTTTCCCGTAGTTGTCGTAAAAGGCGACTAAGGAAACACTTGGGATGGGCAGCAGCATCCTTTTTAAAACATCTCTAAAGCTTAACTACAGTTGCCAATCTATCTGCCAAGCATGGCAGCTACTGGCAAAATCCGCAAAAACGAAGGCTTATGTACAGCAGTGGACAGTTAAAGGCTAGTATGATATTACACGTAATTTTTTTTTTTTTTATTATTTAAAATGGAATGGTAAGAACGCCTACATTATCACACACATACATACATCACACTAAGAAGTGATAGATGAAGAGAGATTTTTTTTTTATGAGTGAAAATGGCATGGTAACCCCGCCTGCGCTAACGGTATACGCTGGCGGAGCACCAGTGAAGGGTGATAGATGAGAATGAAAACAGGCCAGTTAGCTCCTCATGATGAATTCATCAGGAATTAACCATGATAGTTTCCAGGGAGAACCGCGAGGAGGTCGACCTGGTTGGGTATATTACTAGCAATGGGATTCTCAGTCTCCATTACTAACAATCCCTTCCCCAAGAAGAGAGATATTATTATTAAATATTGAGAGGTGAGGATTAAAATAGGCCAGTTGGTCCCTCGTAATGAATTCGCCAGTAATAAACCAAGATGGTTAATACCTGAACCTAAATAACCCTAATACCGAATCTAAATAACCCCCTGCCCCCTTAAATGACATTTTTATATCACACATACATAATAACAATTTATATAAATTTTGTAAAGTCCTAATAAATAACTAGGCTTATGTATTTACGTCCTGTGGTACCCTGAAAATAAAAGCTTTATAAGTACTGTATAAAATAGATTTTTTTGCTAATAAATTATACTTATACAAACATACAGCTTTGCTTGTTTGTTTCCTAATTCTGTAGGTTGTTAATGAACTTTTTATAATTCTTGCAAATTAATGTGAGTACATATTATAATGAATGTTCCTTACAAATGTGTAATAATATATTTTTTTTCTTTTTTTTTTCCAGATGACATTCTCATAAGTCATCGACACGGAATATGATAAGGTCATCGTCCTTTTAATGAAATTATGGCAGTAAAATTATAAAAACTATTATGGAATGGCAACACATAAGTATCATAACAGACTTATGAAGAGCATGGCATACCTCGTCGCACAGGAAATTTACTTTCTTATAAATAAAGTTATTGTCTATTACTTCAATATATTTCAAGTACAGTTGATCAGTTATGAAGGATTCTATTTAAAAAGTGACTGATACTTATACATATTTACTATTCGAGTGTGACGATATAAGTTTTTATAATCCAAAAAATATAATGACTAAAAGACTCGAATCCAAACCTACTCTCAAATAAAAAAAAAAAATATCCTGTGAAACCTTGTTCTTAATGTGAAACAAAGATTTCGGTTGTTCTTAAATGTGAAATCCGTAATGCAATTAAAATGATTACGCAATAGTTGTCCATCAAAGATGTCATTAGCTTATTTGACATTCCAAATGATAAAAAAAAATGAATTATCAATTATCTTCTTCTATTCTATTCTTATCCTATTTTTTGTGATTGTTTATACAATCAGTAAGTTTTACATATTCCCGTATTGGTCACATAATTACAACACAACAATAACAACAACAAAATCTTAAATTGTCACATACATTTGTGACAATTTACCGTGGAAAAAAATTTAAAAGTGATGTCTCACCACGTATGTAATATTTACTTTCATTATCATTTAAATCTGGAATTGTGTTTTTCGCGCTATTTTGCAATTATCTTCAGTTTTAGACGATATTAACATAATTATATATTACCACGCCAAATAAAGAGACAAACATTCCGAGCTAAATATTTTTGCTTTTAAAATCTAAACATACGGCTGTGCTATTTAACTATGGAAAAATTTTATTATAGTGAAAAGGAAATTAGATTTTTAAATAACAATAAACAGATGTCACGGTGATTGCATAATACTTTTTTTTTTATTTTTGCACTTTACATATTTAAATAATTGAAATAAATTCTTCTTATTTATTCTTCAATGGCAATCGGTTGCCATTTTTACGAACGTTTCTGCCAGCTTCATTTATAATGCTCGTATCACAAATTATTATTTTTTTACAAGTAATATACAAAGCACACTACAATCATAACAAACTATTATGCATTGTCAATCTACACACATATATATCCAATAGATAATTTTACAATTTCAATAATTACTCGCCTGTAATCCTAGTTCCCGCCATATTTTTCTAGGTTATGTTCTAAATATTAGCTAAACTCCTACTTGTGATATCCCGCTAATATATTGATGTTGGTAACATTGAATAATAATATTTTTGATGTTAATATATAACCTCTATTGCCTCTATACTTTGTAAATGTTTGTACCGACATTAATAAAAATATATTATGTTTTATTCATGCATATGCCATAGTAACATATTGGTGAACACCTACAACGAAATAATAAAATTCTAATAATTAATTCCTTTTTTAATTTTAAAAGTTGCCTTCGATATTGTATTGGATATTCAATTGTATCCAGTGATTTTAATAATTACAGTATCTATCTATCTATCCATTTAAGAGCTGCGCTCTTGTCGGTGGATTAATATTTTATTTGCCATTACAGTATGTTTAAAAGATAGCAATGACATACAGACATTACAATTTATTTATATGTAAAGATTAAACACACGCAAGGCGCGACGTCCGTGCATCGTCGTCGCAGTGACCGCGGCGCCCCCGAGCGGCGCGCTCGTATTCGTAGCTTTATTTAGTGATGCACCTATCAAAACTCGCGTCCAATTCAAAAGTGAATTTAGTGTTATAGTATCAATATCGGATCTAATTTAGTGAGTACATATATACTATTAGCTGCGCTAAAATACTTTTTTTTTAATTGACCCTTCCCTAATTATACTTAATCGAATAAATTTAAAATTGGAATGAGACTCAATTAAGAATAATGAACCCAACAATCGATATCCCAGTCAAATATTTACACTATGCGAACTGCCGAAAATAAATGTAGATAGAGACAAAAATAAACACCGCGTCGGCCCATGGTTTGATTGTGTTGTATCAATGGGATTAAAACAATATTTTTGATAAGGCGAAGGGTACTATTTGGATAGTTTCCAGGTATAAAAATACAATGCCTAGTATATCGTCTCGCTGCAAGTCTGCCTGGGAGTCGGCCGAGCTAATTCACCCATCCGGGACATTGTAAATGTAAACGCATTCGCACTGGACGAATTACAAGTTCTAAATTCAAATTTTTAGAATAAAACAAAAATCGAAATCGGAATAATCCGAATAACGAAGCCGATGTTCTATTTTTTTTATTTTTAATAGAGATTAATACACTTGATCAGTTGTTTCGATTGTGGATAATCGGTTATTGTAAAATGTTGGCACAGTTCTGATATTTCGTAAGAATCTGAAGAATGTTAAATTGTTTTTAAATGTGAATAAACGCTTCAGAATTAAGATATAAACATCTATAGTATTTAAATACTATGTAATAGAGTAATATAAAACATACTAATTGTAAATATTTTTATAAATAGATAGAAACAAAAATCTTTTATTTTTGCTTTTTGAAATATATTGATTCAAAATAAAATCGATCATTGTCCGAATATAAAAAATATCATTAAAACATAACTTCTTATTTCATATAAACACAAAAGTAAATACATTGTTTGATGCAAATTTAAAATGAGTAATAACTTCACCTTTTCTACGACCTCCGTAAGTTTTTTTTTTTTTTAATGGATGATAATAGAATGGTAACCCCACCCGCGCTGTCGGTATACACCGGTGGGGCACCAGTGAAGGATGATAGATGAGGATGAAGTAGGTCAGTTAGCCCATCGTGACGAATTCAACAAAATTGTTCACGATGGTTTCCAGGGGGAACCACGTGGAGGTCGACCTAATAGGTCATATTGCTAGCAATGGGGCTGTCAAACTCCATTGCTAACAATCCCTTTCCCCCGACCTCCGTAAGTAGGTACGCTGCGTTGCGTAAACGGAGTCCCAGGTTCAATTCTTGGTCGGACCAAATTAGTATACAAACTTTTCTATATACTCAGATCTGGGCGTTCTGAATTATACCCACTGAAGTTAGTTTACCGTTTTATTATTACAAAGTACTACAGATAATATAATACTATACTAGTAATAGTTGGCGTAATAATAAATGGCGTGAATTTACTGGTTACAGAGGAATAACATCTGAGTCCTTAGGAATGGCAACGCATTGGGGGGTATCATGGGCAAAACAGTATACTCTGTTATGTCCATGGTACTGTTCATGTCTATAGGCCACGATTACCACTTTCCATCAGGTGGGCCGTCAGCTTGTTTGCCATTCTAAGTTGTATAAAAAAAAGCTTGATTAATTAATTATAAGATTGTATTCCACAAAAAAAACCAATGTCAATCATGGCCATATCAATTATTTTTATTTTAAAACTAATTTACTAAACCGATTTTAATAAAATTTCTACGAAAGCCACGTATAGACATGAATACCACTATAGGCATAACAGGGTCGCCCATGATACCTCTCATGCGTTGCCATTCCTGAGGAGTAAAGTGTAATGCCTCTGTGCCCTATAATTTCATTGTATATCTACATTATATATGCACATTTCATATGTATATTTTATACATATATGTATATACAAAACATGTTTTTATTCGAAATAAACTTAATTTGCATAAAAAATACATTCAAAAGCATCGATAATCGCTAATTCATTGACCTTTACATATATACAATTTTTCAATATAAGGATCATAGATGACGTCCTATATCATCATCGTCATCCTATCAGCCTCTAACTGTCCACTACCTCCTGCTTGGGGGGTTTTGCCAGTTGTTGCCATGCTTGGCAAGCGAGTTTGGCAACCACAGTCAGGCTTTGAAGATGTTTTAAGAGCGACGCTGCTGCCCATCCCTCGCCCTTCCTTAGTCGCCCCTTACGACACCCACGGGAAAGGAAGGGCTGGCCTATTCTATGCCGGAACTACACGGTCCTATATTATATGCTTACAAATATTACAGGTTTTTTAATAGATAAAAATGGAATGGTAACCCCGCCTGCACTATCGGTGTATGCTAGCAGAGCACCAGTGAGAGACGATAAGTAGAATGAAAACAGGTCAGTCGGCCCACTATAATCCATTATAAAAAAATACCCTTCAGAAATTCGGCAAACTAAACCTGAGGCATCAGAATGACTGGAGATTTATAAAATTTACGGAACTCTAGACATATTTTTGTTTTTTTTTATGAATGATAATGTAATGATAAGTGGAAGGGATTGTTAGTAATACAACTACCAGTCCTATTGCCAGGTCGATCGATGATAGGTGAGAATGATAAAGTAGGTCAGTTAGCCCACCGTGGTAAATACACTTGGCAGGGGGAAAGGGATTGTTAGTAATGGAGACAGAATCCCATTGCTAGCAATATACCCAACCAGGTCGACCTCCTCGCGGTTCCCCCTGGAAATTATCGTGGTTAGTTTCTGATGAATTAATCATGATGGGCTAACTGGCCTGTTTTAATTCTCATCTATCGCCCTTCACTGGTGCTCCGCCAGCGTATCCCATTAGCGCAGGCGGGGTTACCATACCATTTTCATCCATCAAAAAAAAAATACACTTGACACAGTAGTTTTGAGAGGCCACAGAAGTCAACTTGACAGGGTATATTGCTAGCAATGGGACTGGTAGTTTGCATTGCTAATGTTATTTATATTTCATATATACTTCTCTAGTTATATACGCGAATTGTTTAGTTTCGTTACGACTCGTTTGTTTCATAGTGGAGGTTAACAAGTGTATATATATTTTTGTGTTTATAATTTTTTTTTTATGCAACTTAGAATGGCAAACAAGCTGACTGCCTACCTGATGAAAAATAGTAACCGTCGCCTATAGACATGAGCAGTACCATGAACATAACAGAGTATTTTTATAATTATTATAATTTATTCATCGGCGATACGCCACCATTTTAGAAAGAACAGTAAACAAGACAAATTTCGACAACAAAACTAGATGCAAAACTTAAATTATAAACGTTTCTTTTAAAAATATGTACCGGAGCTAGACTTTATAAAATAGTCATTTGCTTATCACCTCTGTCCCATTCGTGTTTATACCGTAAAGCAGTCGTGTTTGCATGGCTGTGTGTCGGTTTGAAGGGTGGGATATGTCAGTGAATATACTAGGTACAGAGGTATAACACCTTAGTTCTCAGGAATGGCAACGCATGGGAGTTATCATGGGCGAAACAGTATACTCTGTTATGTCCATGGTACTGCTCATGTCTATAGGCGACGGTTACCACTTTCCATTAGGTGGGTCGTCAGATTCTTGACATTCTAAGTTGCATAAAAAAAAATGTTTGTATTTAATGTAATGATGGGACAATGTTTTCGATACACAAAGATGTTTGTGACACTATTTTTACATTACCTTTATTTTATTCATAATGTTATACTATTATAGTAAATTGTTTATTAGTTATTAGTATGAAATGTTATTATAGTTATGAAATTTTATTATTAAACTATTTATTGATTAATTTTACAATATGAATATAAATAATTATAAACTACAGATAACTATATAATACTAATAACAATTCGATATGAATAGATACACACCTTTTAAATAAAAAATAATAATAAGAAAATACGTACTTATCGTGATATACTATTTCGAAAGTGAAAAAAGTGTTGTCCTTTCCCCTATCTGTGCGTATTTTGAAACCTTATGTAATAATTATGTTTTATGTATGAATTAATTATTATGGAATGCAATAAATAAATAAATAAATAGTACTAAAAAATATAAGGAGACCGCAAACGAGCTCACTTCAAAATATAAAAAACTTTCATAAGAAACTTGGCTTTATCCGTACTTTATAAACTTCGATCTTAATAAAGATTCAAATTCAAATAATCTTTATTCGTACAAAGTTGTTTTACAAGCACTTTTAAATCGCATTTTTTAAGAACCCTAAGGGCCTACCTTAAAATGTTTTTCGAAATTTCGGTGTCAAACGAAACAGAAATTTGATGTTAAAATTACATAATACATGCCGTTTGGAAATATTAAAAATGTTAAAATATTGTTCCTTTGGACTTTTATCATAGGATGTATGACGAACGAAATGTTAAACTCTATTTATTGGTCCGATTTTGGTATAAACAAAAACACGAAATTGAGTCCGAAATTTCGGAATTTCATTTCATGGTAGACCCGCTGCATTCTTAAAAAAAATAACTGTTCGGAAACTTGTTATCTGTTGAAGAAAGTTGCGGGTGCAAGAAACTCTTTTTGAATAGTTACTCTTTTTTCAAATTCAAATTCAAACGATCTTTATTTAAATAGACTTGTTTGCAAGCACTTTTAAATTGTAATTTTTTAATGAATGCAGTATTCGAAAAGTCGTTATCTGTTGAGAAGAGCCCGTAAGAAACTCAACAGTTACTCTTTTAAATCTCTGTTAATATTATGTGTATTTATTTAAATGTACTATGTTTGAAATTACATGGTCTTAAAGCCCGTACATGTTTGACTAACACCATGCAATTTATTAGATAAGGCGCATAGCTACTATATAACTAAAGAATTTAGTAATAACTTAATTGTATAAATATAAGACAAATTATATTTATACTTATAAAGACGTAAGTGTATTTATGTTATACTTTCGGCACATTTATCTAGTTCAAATGTCAAGTTACGCTTAATAATAATAAATGATATCATGGCGTCCATTATCAACAAGAGTGCTCATGAAATTGTAATCATTATCATTCATAGGTACAAATTGAACAATCAGAATACTTTTTTTGTTAGTATAATTGTTTACTGTTAGAACATAACATGAATTTAAGTATCCTAGGTCAATAACATTTATAATTTATATACAAACCCTATAAATATGTCCTCTTCGGGGGGAAAGGGATTGCTAGCAATGGAGTTCGACATTGCTAGCAATATCAGGTCGACCTCTACGTGGTTCCCCTTGGAAACCATCGTGAACAATTCTTGTTGAATTCGTCACGATGGGCTAACTGACCTGCTTCATCCTCATCTATCATCCCTCATTGGTGCCCCGCCGGTGTATACCAATAGCGCGGGTGGGGTTACCATTCCATTATCATCCATTAAAAAAATATTTCCTCTTTTCCGATTCTCAAGGTTAACTGGAAGCAACTCCTTTAAATGATAAGTCCGCCTGTGTACATTTTTATATAACCTAATATCTATAAGTGAATGTACAAAAGTATATAAATAAATAAATAAACACTTATCCACGAACATGTCAATTAAAATAATCCTCTTAATTTTATTACGAATTGTATAAAAATTTTTTGCTAAATGATGGACAAATTAAACAAATTAATCATATACGTAAATGTGATCAGTGTAATGACTCTTATCGCGGATGATTTACACATAAAACAATAAGGCAACAGCCATAAAAATGACAATCAATACAAGGCCAATGTCTATGCGTCTCTTTCATTATGAATCTAGAGTCCCAGACATCTAATATTAGATATTATACCATACTGTAGTTTGCATTACCCAGGTAGCAGTTATTCGTTATATTGACGTCGATTTTCAGTCTAAAATGATTTCAAATTGACGTCTTATTTAAGCCCCAGATGTCACCTTGTTAGCTGGGTATATCATAGGTACCTTTAATTTTTTTTGAAATGATACTATTGTGTTCTATTTATATATATTTTTTTTTTTGATGGGTATGGTAACCCCGCCTGCGCTAACGGCATACGCTGGCGGAGCACCAGTGAAGGGTGATCGATGAGAATGAAAACAGGCCAATTAGTCCATCATGATGAATTCATCAGGAATTAACCATGATAGTTTCTAGGGGGAACCACGAGGAGGTCGACCTGGTTGGGTATATTGCTAGCAATGTACCCAACCAGGTCGACCAAAGGGATTGTTAGTAATGTCTTCATTACTAACAATCCCTTTTCCCCCGTTCTATTTATATTGACGAGTATTAAGGAGAGATTTAGAGTGTATTGAATAAATTTGATGTTAGTAACAATTTTAAGTAATACTGACGTTTTCCTATTATATTAACAAAATGTCTTATTTTTCTGTATTAATAATTTTAATACAATATAATATTTATTAAAAACAAAGTAAGAAAGTGTACAATTTTTAGTTTTAAACATGACTCTAAATATGTGCATACACAAAAACAAGGCCGAAATTTAAAAAATTTTGAAAGAATTTAATAAAAGTCGTAAAACAATAATGCGAAATTAATTTGTGGAATTTAAAAAAAGAGCTACAGCCCCTACGAGTGTAGTTCTTCAGATTCTCCTCAGTTTAAATTCTCATAGAAATCTCAGGAAATGATCTCAGTGCGATTCTATATGAATAAGTCATTCTGAATTTTTTTTTTTAATTTATATTTTTTTCTTTATGAACAGATCACAAGTTGTCGCCATGGGGGATCTATTCAGGAGTGAGGAGATGATCCTGTGCCAACTGTTCGTACAGTCAGAGGCCGCATATGTGTCCATGTATGAGCTCGGAGAAGCAGGCATTGCACAATTTAGAGACGTAAGTACTTTAAAGAACGATGTATTATTTTTTTCTTATACTATTAGGTGCAGAAAAGAAACTGAAATAATGAATATAATAATAATAATAAGAAAATACGTACTTATCGCAATACAATTTCAATGACTGGATAATATTGTAACAGATCCTTAGACTACTTGCTATGCCCAACAGGGTCCATAATTGAAATGGTATCTAGTCTATATTATGGAATGCAATAAGAAATAAATAAATATAAATATAAATAAATATTCACTTAATAATAAAATAGTAAGTGTCATCTATAAGACCTCTCATAAGAGGAAGACTATCTCACTCTCTCTGTGTGTCAGTATCATACAGCTGTCACAGTATATTCTGCGATGCGCATCATACTGAGCCGCATACACGTTTGCCCCCTGTGTTATAAAAAAATATATATCATCAAATCTATAAACTAGCAGAAAAAGTCTAAGTCTTCAACTAGAAGTCTAAAAGAAGAAATTTTGCAAAACATCATAATTTAATATGAGTGAGTAGGGGAAAGTGGGGGAATTGGGAACACTTAACTTCCAACGTCCAAAAATAATAGAAAAAAGTCTTAGATATAGCAACTTTTATTACAATATAAACTTTACTTATCTATCTACTTATCAGTTACAGAAAAACTCTCAAGAATCAACGTTTCATCTCTGTCGTGTACCCTATGGGGTAATTGAGATCATCCCGAAGGGTAAATGTCGACACAATTAAATCTTTATAATAAACTATAGTTTTTTTGGTTGGCGCATATCACACACGTACCCTAGAGTCTCGCCAGCAGTACATTTTTCATGTGCCCAGAGTTTACAGATGACGCACATAATCCAATCCTCTGTCGGCGGAGATTCATATTTTTCGTTGCACATTATACAAAAAACTATATATTTTCTTGCAAAGCCTTCTTTAAATTTTTCCCTCCTTTACCCTTGACTCTTAGATTTTTTTTTATGGTTTTAATGTTCTTTTATAGTGTTTTATTCAACTTTTTCTTTTTTTAGCTTTTCTCTCATTTTGTTTTTTTCTAAGTTCAATTTTTATCGGTGAGCTGGATAAAATTTGAGAATGTCTCTTATTCTGTCGCACAGAAGTGGTTCTTGTTTTAGGTATGATAGGCACATTAATGATTTCGGTAAGAGGCACAGAAGTGGATGGAGAAGGAGTTTTACTTTGACTGACAGTGTTATCGGATAAATTTAAACTTTGCTCAGCTGTAGTTTTATGAGCATCGCATTCTTGAATCTGACTGATGTAGGATTGATTAGATGTCATATTCTCAAAGATGTCTTTAAATTTGTCAGGATTAATAGGATAAATTCCAGCGGCTCTAAATCCACTGACAGCCTTGCTTATGTTAGCTATTTTATTGTACGCCTTTGTAAAAAGTTCTCCAACCTCGTATTGGGTTATTCGTTTCCCAGGATTGTTAACCATGTACAATGCACATTCCTTATTGTATGCTATCTTCGGTTTCTTTGTTAAAATTGTGTTTCAGCTTTTTTAAGAATTAGCTTCAGCAAATCGAAAAGCAATTCTACGTAATGAACTTGGTGTTATTCCATAAAAAGTCTTGCAGCAATCAAGTATATATTTTTCTAGCTGGTCTTCTTGTTCTCTATTAAATACAGCAGATCGACCTTTTTTTAGTGTCTTGACTTTGTTTTGTTTTAATTGTTTGAATAATGTTGATTTTGGTATTGAATATTTGGTAGTAGCTTGGCCTAATGTGAGCTTCTTACTTCTTCTACTTCTACGAAAATCTTCAATTTTGTATTTCGATTCAGTCTTTCGTATATAGTTTCGAGGCATCTAAAACAATTTTTAAAGTTAAAACATTTTTACATAATTAACCAGCAGTACTAGGGGTAAACTAAGAACGCGAGAGGTAATTGAAAACGTTCCCAATTACCCGCCTGATGCCATTCCCAATTGCCCAAATTAGTCAATATATATCAAAATGGCCGCCATCCTCAATAGTATTTTTGATAACCTTCAATCACGTAGGGTTTGGAAGCAGATAGTACATGCATGATAATAACAAAATATGGTGCCTTTGAATTCAAAAATATGATAGTTACACCTATTATAAGACACGACAAAAATTATAAAAGAAATGCAAAAAACATTGTTCGACTTACCGTGACAGCGTACATGTGGCCTTTCACTCTTACTATTTGGTGTACACTGAGGGGCGCTGGATGCGTCCGTTGAATAAGCGCGGGATGGTGTAATGTGGGGGGAAGTATTATTTACCTAGCTGTTCCCAATTACCCACCGTTCTCAATTCCCCCACTCTCCCCTACTAGCAAAAATATCTGAACTTCCTACGGGAACAATATGAACGATTTCGCACGAGGGAGGATACGAAAACGACTCGATAGAAACGAAATGACCTCAAAATCAAGTGATACTGTACTACAGTAAATAATCTGAACTGAAACTAGAGCAAAGTATAAATAATTGTATTCATTCTACTCAATAACTGGACTAAAATAATCTTTGACACTTATGCACTATCTTAACATTATATGTCGAAAGACGTATAATGTGGAGCGACGATCTGCTTGATCGACTAAAGACTATAAACATAGATGACGAATCAAAGTCAATATTAATACAGTACTGTCTAAAATTACACATGAATTAGATAGATATAGCAGCCAATATCAAGAGTTATTTGTGATAAATCGGTAAAGTTGAACAGTTATGTAAGTAGTAACATTTATTTATTGTTTACTGATAACAACACTAGTACATGGTAACATAAGAGTACTTTTAGATTTTTATTTCTATAAAAAAAAATACAGATTTCAATTGTGGCAAAACTAGTTATATATATATATATATATATATATATATATATATATATATATATATATATATATATATATATATTCTTTATTGCACTAAAACATACAGTAACAACAATAAATTAATAACAATGTTAGCAAAGGCGAACGTATCTCTAAAAGAGATTTCTACCAGTCAACCTAACACAGTGGCAAAGGAAGTAGTGAGTGGGCAGTAGTAGTGCAAAACAGATGTTAAAATATATATATATATATATATATATATATATATATATTTGTACAAAAGTCGATTGCTTGGATACCTCTGTCCCATTCGTGTTTCAACCGTGATGCAGTTGTGTTTGCATGGCTGTGTTTCGGTTTGAAGGGTGGGATATGACATAAATTTACAGGGTACAGAGAAATAACATCTGGAACATCTAGTCCTCAGATATAGCAACGCATGAGGGGTATCATGGGCGAAACAGTATACTCTGTTATGTCCATGGTACTGTTCATGTCTATAGGCGACGGTTACCACTTTCCATTAGGTGGGCCGTCAGCTTGTTTGCTATTCTAAGTTGCATAAAAAAATCTGAAATTATGTCTTTTAAAATAAAATAAAGACTTTTCGATATCGTTTTATAAATGACACAGTTCTAAAATGATACAAGATACGAACATGAAAAAATACAACCAGAATAGAGAATCACCACCTCATCCTTTTTTAAATATGGTTAAAAATAAATAAATTTAAAATTTCTCTATATTAGAAGTCACATAAAAGTAACATTAAATATTTATACAAATGAAAGTAAAATCATGACTTGTGAGTCCATTTGTTATCAATTTCTTATCTACATTGCGTTGTACAAATATTAATGTTTTAATACAACTTAACAATAGATGTTGTTATAACTTTATCATGAACGAACGATAGGACTGGTCCACCAATTTCTGCATATGTACATAAGCTTGACTAATGCATAAGTTGAAATCGGAATCCTTTATTATTACTGTCATATCTTAACGATTTCTTGACAAGTAAAGAGTAGTTTTTTTTTCAAATACATATATAAGTGTTTATTTATTTATTTATTTATTTAATAAGGAACACCTACAACTTTTACATTTTAGAATAGAATAGAATAGAAACATTTATTGCCAGTAAACTTACAATATAAAATATAAATAACATATACAAAAAGTGTCCCACACCCGGCAAAAGGAACCGGCTCAGCTGATGCTGTGAGTGTCCCAGCACATAGTGAACAGCTGCACAGGGCTGGTTTTCAGCCAGTCCCTCTCTTACATGCTACTTAATCAATAACACAAAAAATAATTTTGCCTAACGTAAAAGCCTTTTACAGGCGAACACCGCATGCACTATTTGTTAACTTACTAAGTGTTATCAAAATCAGTTTAAGAACATTATTTTTTAAAACAAAATATCTGGATTGACCGTGTAGTCCCGGCATAGAATAGGCACCCCTTCCTTTCCTGTGGGTGTCGTAAAAGGTGACTAAAAGGACTTATTGGTGGAAGTATAGGCAGCAGCGTCTCTCTTAAAACAACTCTAAAAGCCAAACTGCGGTTGCCAACCCACCTGTCAAACGTGGCAACTACTGGCAAAACTCCCCACATGCCTTATGTCCAGCAGTAGACAGTTAACGGCTGAAATGATGATGACGAATTCGATTTGCCGCGATTGAAGTAGGTATTTTTGTGAAACAAAATTTTACATTATTTACGACTATTTTAAGTGATTATGTCATCAGTTTTGAATTAATTTAGACAGCTGTTTTTGTAATCGATAGTAACAGGTGATTCCTTTAATCTAACGTTTTGATGAGTAAGGCTGTTTTTTTAAAGCAAAATTCTAATTATTGCGTACCATGGTCTACATATAGATATACAATTCTGCACTTTGAATGTGTCGATGCAGACGTCTTTCGTCAATATATTTTACAACTGGCAATCTACTACGGCTTCTCATGAGTAAATAGAAGAATAAATAAATATTTACTTATAATAATATTTAGCCTTTTTTACTCGTTGATAATTTAATTTCCATAGATGAGAGAATTTTTTGATCGATTGAATAGATTCTGAGTTTATACATTATAAACAAACGAACAAACATTTATACAATAATCAAATATTTCCTATTTATGATATTCATCATCATATTAG